TGCTTTAACTTCCACTGTTCCTGATGACTGCCATTTCTTAATTACATTCCGAACAGAGGATATTGACATCTGAAAACGCTTTGCTATCTTCTTATAGCCTTCTCCAGCTTTGTGAGCATCAACTATTTTCAGTTTCAGTTTTCTAGACAACTGCTTAGAAGAACCCATGGTGCTGATTGTTGGGGCAAGGTCAGATGAGTCTGGGCATTTAAAACCTTTGAGATTGACATCACCTGGTCTTCCCAGTCGATGATTGAGAACAATCCATGACACTGGCAGGAAAGATCAGATTACACAGACTGCAGATTGACCACCTTTCTCTCACCTCACAAAGAGGGGACTGCCTGGCTTAGTAACCTATACAAGGCTGCTAGGAAACTAATGCCACTTCCCCATAACTCTATAGCACATGTACTGCTACAGGGTGGTAGTTCTGTGCAAAATCATGTATGAACTGCATACTTGATTTTGCACTTCCTGGTGTTGGAGCCGTGTCACTTCTGCTGTGATTAGTCACAGCAGAAACTAACAGCTGCCGGCCAACGGATGAGCGCTGGTACCCGTTAATTGCCGAGGAGACTGACAGAACACAGCTCTGCCTATGTAAACAAAGCATTTGCTGGATTTTGTTTCCCTGAAAAGCAGGGAATAAAATCCAGCACATTGCCTAGTACACACTGTGTACACAAAAATACTGGTTATCCACACAGTTAACCCTTTGATTTCCCTTTGATGTTTAACCCCTTATTAATACAGTGACGGTGTACATTTGTAGCACTGATCACTGTATTAATGTCACTGGTTCTCACAAAGTGTCAGTCAGTGTCAGACTTTCCACCACAATATCAAAGTCCTGCTATAAGCTGCTGATCGCCGCCATTACTAGTATAGAAAACATATGTACAGTAGTTTGTCGGCGCTAAAACTTTTGCATACATATACATACATAAATAAATACATAAATACATAGCAGAATACATTTTGGACTAAATTTATGAAGAAAGTAGATTTTTTTTTTAATTGGATATGTTTTATAGCAGAAAGTAAAAAATATTGTTTTGTTTTTTCTTTAAATTGTTGGGGCTTTTTTGTTTATAGCACAAAAAATAAAAAACCCAGAGGTGATCAAATACCTCAAAAAGAAAGCTCTATTTGTGGAAAAAAAAAACAAATTTCCTTTATGTACAGCGTTGCATGACTGTGCAATTTTCAGTTAACATAACACAACGCAGTTTAGCATCAGTTTAGCAACATCCTGTTGAACTGGCCAACATTCGGGCCATGTGTACATCTGTCCTTCCGACAGTAGCGGGTCTAAGGACTGGCCTTTGTCAAAGGGACTTGCTTTATCAGTTCACACAGCCATTGATTAATGTGTTCTGCTGGTGTAGGGGGGGTAGAGGGTAGACTTGCTGTCAAAATACAATAGCTCAGTGAAAGAAGCCCGCTGGGTTGAACAAAAAAAAAACTTAACGTGTGTACCAGGCATTAGAACAGTCAACATGCTCTGTACAGTGACACTGATACACTTTATTGTAATATTAATTTGTGAAATAAAGACCTAATACAGAGCATTTAAATGACATAGAACTGTGGTCTTCAAACTGTGGCCCAATGCTCGCCTTTATCCAGCCCTTTGGGACAATTTATCCATCAACAGTGGGGCATAATTCCTGCCACAGATATGAGTGATGGGTCACTATTCCTCTCACTAATATAAATGATGGGGCACTAATGATGGGTCACTATTCCTCCCACTAATATAAATGATGGGGCACTAATGATGGGGCACTATTCCTCCCACTAATGTTAATGATGGGGCACTAATGATGGGTCACTATTCCTCCCACTAATGTTAATGATGGGGCACTAATGATGGGGCACTATTCCTCCCACTAATGTTAATGATGGGGCACTAATGATGGGGCACTATTCCTCCCACTAATATAAATGATGGGCCATGATACCTCCCACTAATATAAATGATGGGGTGCTATTCCCCCCACTAATATTAATGGTGGGGCACTAATGATGGGTCACTATTCCTCCCACTAATATAAATGATGGGGCACTAATGATGGGGCACTATTCCTCCCACTAATGTTAATGATGGGGCACTAATGATGGGGCACTATTCCTCCCACTAATATAAATGATGGGCCATGATACCTCCCACTAATATAAATGATGGGGTGCTATTCCCCCCACTAATATTAATGGTGGGGCACTATTCCTCCCACTAATATTAATGGTGGGGCACTATTCCTCCCACTAATATAAATGATGGGGCGCTATTCCCCCCACTAATATTAATGATGGGGCACTATTCCTTCCACTAATATAAATGATGGGGTGTTATTCCCCCTACTAATATAAATGATGGGGCGCTATTCCTCCCACTAATATAAATGATGGGGCGTTATTCCCCCAACTAATATAAATGATGGGGCGTTATTCCCCCAGCTAATATAAATGATGGGGCGCTATTCCCCCCACTAATATTAATGATGGGGCACTATTCCTTCCACTAATATAAATGATGGGGGCACTATTCCTCCCACTAATATAAATGATGGGGCGCTATTCCCCCCCACTAATATAAATGATGGGGCGTTATTCCCCCAACTAATATAAATGATGGGGCGCTATTCCCCCCACTAATATAAATGATGGGGCGTTATTCCCCCAACTAATATAAATGATGATGGGGCGCTATTCCCCCCACTAATATTAATGATGGTGTGCTATTCCTTCCAATAATATTAATGATGGGGTGCTATTCCTCCCACTAATATAAATGATGGGGCATTATTCCCCCCACTAATATAAATGATGGGCCACTATACCTCCCACTAATATTAATGGTGGGGCACTATTCTTCCCACTAATATAAATGATGGGGCTCTATTCCTTCCACTAATATTAATGGTGGGGCACTAATGGTGGGGCACTATTTCTCCCACTAATATAAATGATGGGGCTCTATTCCTTCCACTAATATTAATGGTGGGGCACTAATGGTGGGGCACTATTCCTCCTACTAATATTAATGGTGGGGCACTATTCCTAACACTAATATTAATGATGCAACAGTATTCCTCCCACTGAAACCAGCAATGTTGCAGTATTCCTCCCACTGGCTCCAACAATGGGGCACTAGGTCTTCAACTTATACCAATAATGGGGCACTATTTATGCCACTAATACCAATAATGGGGCATTACTCCTCCTCCTAGTAACCACCAACCCTTCTCATTGATGCTGGGTCAGGGCATTTTCTACCCACGCTGGCTACAATCCGGCCCCCCTGAAAGTCTGAAGGACAGTAAACTGGCTCATTGTATGGAGACCCCTGACATAGAACATCAGCTTACTGTACAAACGTGTAAGTACTTTCATTTTAAAAGCTGGAGAGGCCCCCATAGAGGATGACCAGTCTCCTGTCTGAACTCAGGGCTTATAGTTGACCCAGTGCAGGCTGCAGATGGCAATTAACAAAGCCTATATATATATATATATATATATATATATATATATATATATATATATTTTTTTTTTTTTTTTTATGTGATTCTGACAGCACCTTTATTATATGATGTTTCTTGAGTGTCTGCTATTGCAGTGAGTGCAGACAGAGATTCAGCCTGATACCTGTGCTCTGATAGGGAGAAAATACAAATAAATAATTAAAAAAAAATCAAGAAATCCTGAGAGGTAAGACTGCATTAATATAAGCTTTTAAGAGTGCAGATGCAAATGCTCATCAATGACTGATTATCTTTAAAGTGATTAAAACCTACATTTTATTTTTTTTTAAAATAGTAAACATGTTATACTTACCAGCTCTGTGCATTGGTTTTGCACAAAGCACCCCCCATCCTCCTGTTCTCGGATCCCCCACCAGCGTTCCTGGCTTCCCTCCGTCGCCTGCCTTCATAGCAAGCTATGGGGGCACTCGAGTGGACACACAGACCGTGGTTCGGACCTAACCCCTGCAATTTCCTTACTGGCTGTGACTGACAGCAGCAGGAGTCAATGGCTCTCACTGCTGTGTCTGAGCCAATGAGGAGGGAGAGAGTGCAGACAGCCACTGCTATTGGGTACAGCACTGGATCAAAATTGGTCTCAGGTAAGTATAAGGGGAGGGGGGCTGGGGTGCAGAACACAGAAGGTTTTTTACCTAATGCATAGAACCACTTAAGCTGCACTATAGGCAGATATATAAAAAACAAATGCATGCTTCAGGTAGACCAATCAGTGTCCTGTATTCACATGTGCTGACAAGGAAAATACTGAAAAGAGGAGATACCAGAGAGATGATCTCATCAGTCTCCTTCTGGTCCTTTACTTTCCAATCATAGTTTGGGATAGGGGAATCCCTATACTCATATGTACCAATGTGTACCAACATGCAATGAACAAAGCGAATATGAAAAGCGCAATCAAAAAGTCATACTCCCATGTGATGGCATCTCAGCTGTTATGTATACTCCCATGTGGTGGCATTGTGGTAGCACCCAGATGTTGTGTTGTAGAGTTCCCCTATAAACTCTAACACTTCTAGCAGCCTGTGTTTGTAAAAGCAAGGTTTTTGGCTCATCTTCCCCCCTCCCGTATTTCCTGTGAGTATAATGTGTACCGGTTCATAGCTGGTATTTTTATCTATAGCTGCTGTCCAAGGTTATTCTGTAGAGTTTAGGAAGACCTTTGAGTGTATAGAAAGTAAAAGAAGAAATGTATGCCTTGTGATGTAATCGTTGGTATATACGCTTGTAAGAAGTTTTCTATAACTCACTTAGCAGATGAGAGCATAAGCCATCTGTTGAGTCAAAACAGCCCTGTTTTTAATAAATCATTTGTATTCCTCAAGTCCGTGTCCGGAGTTCTCTGGTTTGCCAAAATTTCTACTACAGCATCTCAGCTGTTTTGTGTTGTATATTTCAAACAAGATATTGTTCATATAAATACACAAAGAGGCTAATTTATTTTCATTCTCTTACATCACAGTCCTGAATGTCATCCATGGCGAGCAGATCATTTCCATGGCGTAGCTGGAATCGCACAACTTCTCGCGCAGCCCTCATTTCCCCCTCCCGTGTGCTCTGTCCCTTGCACTCCCACTCCATGTCCTGGAGGAGTAGGCTGTACTTGCTGATGCGCTGGATGGGTTTTAGCAAGTAAGAGGAGAGATCCATCTTGTCGGCAAGTTCCTGCTGCTTTCTCTGTCAACACAAAATGACTGCAATGACTGCAAAAGCTGTATAATAACAATTGTACAAAAGTGATTTGTCACCTCTGATCCATGGAAAATAATTTTGAGGTAAACTGTTTTATCGAATAATTTGTGATTCTGTTAAGTCAGCTTTGAGATCCAGGCCCCACTAACAGACAGCACAGTCAGGTTCCGTACCTCCTACACTATACAAAGCCATTAGCATTGCATCCTGTTTTTTTTTTTTTACAAAACTGTGTTCTCAGCTTTTTTTAAAAGGAAATGAACACCCTCCATGATATCTTCTGGTCATACCTTAAAAAACACAGTCCCGTGCTCTTGTAATAGCCGGTCAGATTGAGGCTTGTTCTTGCTGTAGAATGCATACAATCCAAACTGTTCTTTCTATAATAGAATGCAAAAGGTTACAAGAATGTAATAGATTATTTTTTTTTAGATTTTTTTTTTTTTTTTTTTTTTAGGAGAAGAAAAACAGACACCACCATCACTATTCTCTCCTTACAGTATTTGGCATAAAGTATATTTTCTAGTATTTCCTGGTTTCTATATAGGCATCAGCCACCCCGCGATGAGATTAAGACATTAAGGGTTGGTTCACACCAAAGAAATGCAGTCCAGATGCAGTCCAGATGCATTTCTGCATGCATGTTTTTATGCGTTTTTGATGTGTTCCAATACATTTTCCCTTCCTTTTTTCTTCACCTTAAATAAGGGCATGTGCATTCTAGTGCCTTTTTGGTGCATTTAGGTTGATTTTGGTGCATTTTACTGCATTCCAGTACAGTTCAGTGCAGAAAAAATACTTTTTTTCTTCTGCAGCTGGAACACACTGGAACTAAAAAATAGCAAATATCATGCACAAGTAAACTAAAAAATTAAGGCAAACAAAAATGAATTATTGTGGCACCAATCGAGAGTGAAATTGATAAATTAAGCCCCTAGGGGATTTTACAGCTGCCCCTAAGACGTGAAAGTGACACTTGTATGTGGATGATAGTGAATAGATAGATGCTGTATTCAAATAAAATATAATATACAAATGCACCCTATAAACCCAATAGGATAACTGAATAATGATTAATTGTGAATGAATACCAATATATAGATATCAAGCAATTCGAAAACCAGACAATGCACAAAACAATAAGAGCATTAGCTGAATAATCTTTTTTGCATAAAATGTCCTTCTGCTTCCACCATGTGCTGAGTAAATTCAAAGTGTGACAGTCCTTCTTAAACCTCAATATCAGTGACATAGAAATCCATGTGTCCACACCTCGGTGCAAAGGCAAATGAATGGCTCACTCACCAGACCTATATGGCCCCATTACAGTGGTCATATATCGCATTGTGTTTTATAAACCAGGATATTCTCTAGAGGTTCCTCCATGTATGGTCACCATCACTCACACTTCATAGTTGGAAAGCCAAGAGGACGGATGTGAAATTTCCAATAAATTCCCCAAATGATAATTGGAGGGATTGGGATAAGTAATCCTAGCTGTTTATGTCATACCACTCAAAGGAATCATTACAATGAAAAAACATTCTACAGTAAGTGTAATATTTAATAAGGCAACAGTAGGATTTAAAACAAACTGAATACACTCACATGATACAGTGCCTGAGAAGCCGGAACCAGCATATATTGCCTGTGTATTAAATTAAGATGGGCGATGTGTGCTCCAGGGTGCATTAATATATTACATAAAATATAAGTACAGCGCCTATCTATTCACTACCAGTCCCTAAAAAATTAAGCCACTAGCAAAACAATCAGATAAATTGTGTACAAATGTACATAAAAAAATTGCCAAGCGAAAACTTCACTAAATACAAATGTGTATATGTAACAAGAGTGAATAGATAAATGTGTGGAAAACACCATCAAAGTAGAATCCCAAATCCAGTCCAAATCAGAAATAAGATATAAATACAATCCCAAAGTCCTGGTGTGTGTAAAATTAGACACCATATATCTCCGATAAAACAGGTGCGCCACCACCATCTATAAGTAGGACTCTCACCGGAACACATGCACCCTAATAAGAGTCAAGAGCACATTGGTTATATGGCTTAAAGATATGCTTCCACCATTGCTCGCAAGCAGGGAAAGATGCTGGACAACCAGTAATTTCAGGAAGATTGCTTCAAACTTTCACCCTCAGCACACTCCATGCAGTCAGCAGTCCTCTGTACTTCTCGTTCTTCTGGGTTCTCTCCATGCCCTGCCCATATACACTGCTTTGTACCCTAGGTATTTAACGCACTGGAAAAAACACAGCAAACTCTGTACTCCTACGCTTCGGGATGGACTCGGCTAGGGTTATGGTAACATCACAGATATCCTAGAAAATGCACTCCTTGCTGCCCTCAACGGATAGGTAGTCCAATGTCACCGGATACAAAGAAAAACAAACAGAGGGTGCACTGGCCTAGTGCATTATCGTAAAAAATTTATTGGAATGATAAAAAGTAAGTATCATATTCACAATAGGCAAATAGGTCAAAGGCACAGCACACTAAAACAGTGGTGGGTGGCTCTGAGGAAGAGGTTGAGACCTCGAAACGTGATAACCTGTTGGAAGTCCAGGGTTCCATTTTTTGGACTTATATGCAATGTGGATTGGACTCCGCTGTTTAATGTGATGTGCCTTTGACCTGTTTGCCTATTGTGAGTACGATACTTACTTTTTATCCTTCCAATACATTTTTTACGATAATGCACTAAGCTGGTGCACCCTCTGTTTGTTTTTCTTTGTATCATTTAAGGCACTGGACCTGACTGCACTCGTGTGAACTATGCCATTAGAAAACATATAACCTACTATCCATGTGTTTTTGATGCAGAAAAAAAAAGCACTGGACTGCATGTGGTGTGAACCGACTTGTGTTTTTATTCTGCAAGAGAATGAAGAGGGAGGGGCTGCAAAAAAAGCATAAATAGTCTTCTGAACTAAAAAAGTGAAGATTATATGATATTAAACATCTGGAAAAGTCAACTGCGTCTTAGCAGTACCCTATAGCTGTATCCTTTTCTGGAACTCCTCCTGAAAGATAGCAGTGCACTTCCTGGATTGTGCATACAGCCTCATAGTTGTATATCCGTTGTGTGGGATCTCAGGCACTGCTGCCTCTGACAGCTACTCTCAGGAGATTTGGAGTGAGATTTGGTGATGTCATTAACCCTGCTACTTTGCTGCTCACCATTCTCTTTGCTGGAAGCTCTGACGTGAGGAAGCAAAACCCTACCAGGATGGTGCCTCCACAATATACAACAATATACAGTTACACGAGAAAGATTGCCAGATAAAAGATCCAAGAGTCAATGTTTGACTTCAAGGCGACGAAACGCGTTTGAATGAGCTTCCTTATGTCACCTATGTCCTTCGTGGTTTGCTCACTTCCAGTCCGTGGAATGCATATCGTAAAGCGTTCTAGCTTGTGTTTAACAAACAGGTAGTTTGTGTAAGTGTTTTTACTTAGCTTTAACTTCTCTTAATAAAGTGGCAATACACTATTTGGAGTTCCTTTCATTTGTTCCATTCACACATGTGATGACCCTTGGAGAAAGAGAAGCGAGACTTGGATAAAGTCACAAGAGAAGAGAAAGGAGTCCTGGAGAAGAGATTCCATGAGCACTATTCAACCCACTTATTAAACTAAGGGGTCATGGAGACCTGGTGAGTGTGGTGTATTGAGTGGAGACATGGACCAAGAACAATGGATTGAACGTTGCACTTTAAAGCAGGGCATTTTGAACTTTTATTTCAGGGATAAGCACTAAAGACTCTTTTGGGCACTTTTCAAGCACATTACTGGATCTCATGTTTTATATATATATTTGTATTATATATGCACACAGCACTTATTGATTTCATCTTTATTGATTTAATCAGCTTTAAATTATATTGCTGCAATAGGGTGATTATATATATTTTTGTTAGCACTTGCTTATGGCATTGCACTTGTGCTTTTCAGCAAACTTCTTGCATATAGCATTGGTATTTTCATTGTATAAGTATTTGCAAAAACATTTGGCATGTCACCTAAATATTTGGGGAGGTGTATTGTAGCATTTTTTGTTTTTGGCATTTTGCACATATTATTTGTTGGGTGGTATTTGAATAATTGCAAGTACCAGAATATACCTACTGATCAGTATTATTAGGTGGAGGTGTACTGTAGCGTCGTGCTCACATATACAATTTTTTTGCATTTCATCATACCCCTTTGGGATATAATTAGGTTGCAGGCAGTTACCGCTAAACATTTATATCATTTCATAGCACGGGACCTCATTAATAAATGATTTATTGGTTCAGTAACTGACTACAAACAGCAAACATGTTTCGGGGGCCCACAGATCATCCCCTTTCAAACAGAGTTACAAGACAAATATAATTTCAATAGTTGCTAAACATTTCCTTTGCATTTTTATACATTTTTGGTACTCCAATATCAATTTCAATAGTCTCAGAAGTCATACGTTTTACAGCTTGTAAAAATACAATTGAATATATATCTAATGTGAGTTGGTTTTTCACCTGGTGTGGTGGATGGGCACTACGTTTTGAAGGAAGAACTGAAGATACAGTTGTGTTCAAAATAATAGCAGTGTGTTGAAAAAAGTGAATAAAGCTCAAAATCCTTCTAATAGCTTCTATTTCCATACACACAAATGCATTGGAAACACTACACATTCTATTCCAAATCAAAACATGAAGAAAAATATATCAAATTTGTGTTGTTCCTCTAAAAAAATTGAAGAAAAGTGAATATTAGACTGTTCAAAACAATAGCAGTGTTTGTATTCTTCTTTACAAACTCAAACATTCACTATATAAACTGAAAAATGTTTGAAGATTTTGCTTTCCTTTGAATCACTTAATTAATTTAGTTGTATAAGCACTGTTTCTGAGAACTGCTGTACATCTGTGTTGCATGGAGTCACCCAACTTCTGGCACCTGTGATCAGATATTCCAGCCCAGGATGATTGGACTACATTCCACAGTTTCTTCTCTAATTCTTGGTTTTGCCTCAGAAACTGCATTTTTTATGTCACCCCACAAGTTTTCTATTGGATTAAGATCCGGGGATTGGGCTGGCCACTCCATAACGTCAATCTTGTTGGTCTGGAACCAAGATGTTGTACGTTTACTGGTGTGTTTGGGGTCGTTGTCTTGTTGGAACACCCATTTCAAGGGCATTTCCTCTTCAGCATAAGGCAGCATGACCTCTTCAAGTATTCTGATGTATTCAAACTGATCCATGATCCCTGGTATGCGATAAATAGGCCCAGCACCGTAGTATGAGAAACATCCCCATATCATGATGCTTGCACCACCATGCTTCACTGTCTTCACAGTGTACTGTGGCTTGAATTCAGTGTTTGGGGGTCGTCTGACAAACTGTCTCCGGCCACTAGACCCAAAAAGAACAATCTTACTTTCATCAGTCCACAAAATGTTGCGTCATTTCTCTTTAGGCCAATCAATGTGCTCTTTGGCAAATTGTAACCTCTTCAGCATGTCTTTTTTTTCAACAGTGGGACTTTGCGGGGACTTCTTGCAGATAGCTTGGCTTCACATAGGCATCTTCTAATTGTAACAGTACTCACAGGTAACTTTAGGCCTTCTTTGATCTTCCTGGAGCTGATTGTTGGCTGAGTCCTTGCCATTTTGGCTATTCTTCTATCCATTGGAATGGTAGTTTTTCGCTTGCTTCCACGTCTTTCAGGTTTTGGTTGCCATTTTAAAGCATTTGCGATCATTTTAGCTGAGCAGCCTATCATTTTCTGCACTTCTTTATATGTTTGCCCCTCTCCAATCAACTTTTTAATCAAGGTACGCTGTTCTTCTGAACAATGTCTGGAACGACCCATTTTCCTCAGAATTTCAGAGAGAAATGCACTGTAACCAGCATGTACAACATTTGCTGCCTTCCTTCCTTAAATAAGGGCAATAATTGGCACCTGTTTTTCAAAGAATGAATGACCTCACTAATAGAACTCCACACTGCTATTATTTTGAACATGCCCGTTTCAATTAGTGATTCAATTACACAGAATCAGCAGCATGCATGTCATGACTGTTGGGTCTGTTGGATTTATATTACTCTACTACACCTGCTAGTAAATTATTTGCCATGTAGAAATATAATTTCTACCAAAAACAGTTATTGATCAGGTTAGTGATGTCTGACTGCTATTATTTTGAACACAACTGGATATGAATTCACAAGCTATGTGCTACATTTGATATTTCACAGGGATTTGTTTCTTTGGACTTTTTCTGTATTGGACTTTTATTATTGTGGATATATGTATAATATGTTTTATGTACCGTATATGTAGTGGGGATTGGTTTATGTTATGCTGCACTTACACTTGAACTCATATGTTTTTACATCTGTCTGAGGAAGATTTATGGGTCTCTGAAACCCGTTGGCAGTTTGTTGCCTTTTCATTGGTCATTTAGTGAACCAATAAATCGTGCTGGACTCCTGGATCATTTGTTGGATGCTCTTTCTGGTGCAACTGTTTATAAACTATTGAATTTGGGTGACCCCTATTTTTCAGGGGTCCAGACTTTGTAGAGGGCCACCAAACCCAAGCCATTTGGTTCCACTTAGGATTTCTTTTCTATTCTTTGCTATGGGAAGAGGATCCATATTCAGTGCCTCACTCCCACCTCGATAGTGTAGAAGAAGGCACAGTAAGACAGTAAAGGGAAAACATCAGCTGTAGGGAGACCATGGGCTATTCAGTTGACTAGTACCTTGTCCTTTGCTTGACATTTTTGGCCACAGCTTCCACAATTTACTTTCTCTTCAAATCACCCACAGAGTCAGCTTGTTTATTTTTTTGGCAGAATGTATTAAAATAAATCAACCATAAACTCTATATGCTATATATCATGTAGATCAGGGGTGGGCAACTGTGGCCCTCCAGCTGATGGTGAACTACAAGTCCCATCATGCCTTTGCCTTTGGGAGTCATACTTGTAACTGTCAGTTTTGCAATGCCTCATGAGACTTGTAGTTCTACAACAGCTGGAGGGCCACAGTTGCCCACCCTTGATGTAGATCATTCTGTTAGGCCTGGTTCACACTGATGCGATTTCAGATGCAACTTGGGTTGGACTAAATCACATGACATTGGAAATCATATTGCTTTCAATAGTGCCTGTTCATATTAACAGAGCATAGCTGCGATTTGGGAAAGGGTCCTCTGCTACTTTGGTGTGATTTAAAGTGTGATTTGGCCCCATAGAAAATATAAAACATATCCAAAACACAACCAAAGTTGCACTACATAATTGTACTACAAATCACATCAAAATTGAATTGCAGGAGAATGAAACAAGCCTTACCTATATGTAATTGACTAAATATGTAAATTGTAAACATTTTATTACAATAAAACAATTTTCTTTTTGGCCCACAGCAACCACTCAGTTAAGTTTTTGTAAGATGAAATTCCATCTGGATGTAATGGGAAACAAACAAATCTTTATGGTTTATGAAGGTGGTAGGGAAGGATGGATTTAGACACAGTAAATTAAACCATGCCTATAACTTGGGCTCAGGGAGATAACAGTTCACTCACATGTTTAAGGAAGCAACGTCCCACGTGACTGGGGTCCCTTCTGCAGCTGGTAAGCTCCTGGAGGAAAACATGACTGTGGAATTCATAGATTTTTTCCAAGTTCCCAAAGATGGCAGCGTGCTGACCACGTAGGGCAGGTGGGAGGTCTGGCTGATCCATCTCACACAGGTAATGAGAAAGGACGTACCCCAGCGAACACACGTAATCCCGCTCAGTGGCAAGCAGCTCTTCCATTATCCTGTGGAGTTTCCTGTGAAGACGTTTAAAATATGAAAATCCACAATTTACTGAAATATAGGAGATACACAGTCGCAAAAAACAGGCAGTACAAAAAATACATGTTTGTATTGATGGAATATACCTGTAGTTTCATAGTTACATAGTTAGTCTGGCTGAAAAAAAACAAAAGTCCATCCAGTTCAACCATAAAAAAAGAAAAAAGTTATAATCCTACACCACAGTTGATCCAGAGGAAAGCAAAAAACCCAGCAAAGCATGATCCAATTTGCCCCTGCAGGGGGAAAAAGTCCTTCCTGATCCCCCATTTTGCTTGAGGTGATTGTAACCATATTAGTGCACTTGCAACCAGGGGCAGACTGACCATTTGGAAACTCGGGCACTGCCTGAGGGCCTGGGGTCAGTAGGGGCCCCATGAGAATCCCCCAAGAGGCAATCGGGTATTCCCTGGATCAACTTTAGCTATAAATGTTAGTAACCAGTTATGTTCTGTGTATCCAAGAAAGTAGTGATAGAAATATGGCAGCCCCCATTCTACAGAACCTAACAAGAGAACTTCTGCCAAAAATTGATTATTGACCATGTCTTAAAGCATATTTAAAGCTGAGCTCCAGTCAAACCAAAAAAAAAAAAATAGAACTCTAGAGCTACAAAAACTGTAGCTGCTGACTTTTAAAAAACAGCCACTTACCTGTCCCGCAATCCAGCTCATCGCAGCCAGTTTCATTGGCTGTCCTCGCTCACCGGTGCCGGCATCTTAAGCGTGGGCAGCTTGCGACTTCTCAGCCAAATGCTCACTGTGCAAGCTTGAGTAGCACTGAGCCTTGTGAATGGTCTCATAGTCTTCTGGGACTTGTCACGTGTCCCAGAAGACTATGGGGAGGGAGGGGGGGGACAACATCCGCTTCTGATATCTTAGGTGATCGCAGCAGATGTGGGAGCGGGTCCTTGTCAAAATCGGATACCCACTCCCTGCTCCCCAAAGGTGCTAATTCCTCAAGGGGAGCGGGGGATCAGTTCTTAAAGTGGAACTTCCCCTTTTGGGTGGAGCTCCGCTTTAAATTCAAAACTTTTACTTTGTAGGTTTTGAGTGTTGAAGTGTATAAATACCCACCGCTTCTTAAATGCAACCTGTGTCTTTGTTAGACCATTTGGGTTTATGGATTTTAAGGGGAACCCCATGCTAAAAAAAAACAGCGTGGAGTCCCCCCCCCCACATCTATCCCAGTAACCCCCCCCCTTCTGAACCATACCAGGCCAAAAAGGTCCAGCATGCCCCGGCCGATGACATCACAAGTGCCTGGTATGGATTGGGGGTTCCTAGTATGAATGGAGCCTCAAAGTTTTTCAGTTTTCACCTGAACAGTAAACCTTCAAATAGGGCCACCTGTTTGGCAGCAACTGTCTAAGAGGTGACTTGCCCTCACTTTGGGGACATTTCCTCTCTCCAAATGTGTCTACAGGACAGGAAGTGAAGGAATATCTCAGCAGTGGAGGTGCAAAAAAACATGACCAGGGTTCCCTACTTTGTACAAATCCAAAATGTTTTGGCTTTCGATATACTGGGCTTTGAACAGAATATATGGATTTTTGCAATGCTGTACTGAATTTGCCTGTCCAGGATATGGAAACATTGACTGATATACATAAATTTTGACTTACGCAAAATTGAATTTTGCTGTCCAGTCATTGTCTCGAGATGACTCAGTCAGAGCTCTTCTCATCCAAGGAAGGCGTGGATTAAGTGGCTCCATTGGTAACAAAGGAGAGACTGCTGAAGAACTTTCACTGGAGTACTGAGAGGCTGAATCCCCCGTGGAGAAGCTGGCATGCCTAGAAAGATGACATCGCCTTCCAGACTGTTTCACTCCTTTGCCACTCTCACCCCTAGAGAGGCTACTTGAGTCATCACTGCTTGTTCTTCTATAGTACATCCAGGGGAAGTGATCTGAACTTGTAGAAGAAGGGTTTTGACCTTGAGCAGACCTAGGAAGTTTGGGGCTGGGTGTATGTAAAATCTCCAGAGCTTCATTGTTTGAGTTCTGAACCATCAGTTCAGTGTTCTCTGGGTCTGACCCACTGCTGTTCTTAGACTCATCAATGGTAGAGCATCCCTGTGAGTTTACCGTGTCTCTAGCTGTCCTTCCATTCCTATGGCTCCTGGATGCCTTCAGAAAGAGTCCCATAGAGCCAGAGTGAAGTCCAAAACTACAACAGTTTATAATTGTTGACTCTGCAGATCGCATGCCACCCCTAGGCCTGAACTCCTCTGTCTCCTTTCGATTCCCTTGTGCAACATCACTTGAGAAGCTCACCATGGTGCCATCCCCTTGACTACTAACACCAGAGGCCAAGGTGGTATCCTTATGCCAACCTAAGGCCACTACAGCTTGTTCTTCCTTGCACTTCTCTAGAGTCTCCTCCACAAGTTGCTTTGCCTCTTGACATCTGAGCCAGGTCTCATTCCACACCGCCAGCCCTCGACAACTGCTAAGTTTGTAGGCTTCCTCTTTCATCTCCTGGAATTTGTCATCTGACAATTCTTCTGTCAGTCGTTGCAAGTAGGTCTCAAGGCACTGTTGGGTTTCTGGCTGGCACAATTTTTGTTCGGTCACCTTCAATTGGCCCACATAACGACTGCAACTCACAGTGAGCTGTGTGATCTAGTAGAAATCACAGGCAGCAAATTAATTAGTACTACATAAAGAACAAGCACTGGATATCAAAATCTGAGACCACAATTAAATGATGATATTTTAAGGATGCAAAGATACAAATGGGTCCATGAAACTGATAAAGATTGTTATGCAATCTTCTATGACAATATATTTAGTATGATTTCTTCTTGTACCTTATCACAAAATCTGTAAAGATTGAGAAGTTTTTCCAGCTCCTCCTTCTGTCTCTCCACACTCATGTAGAAGCTGCTTAGTTTGGTCTGGAAGCCTCCTCGTGTAGACTTGAATGACTCCATTTCTGGAAACAGTGACCCATTGAATTTGTTTGCATTATCCAGAAGGACCAGCCCATGGTTATAATGCACCTGAATCAAAACAACAATTCTGGTGACTTTAGGTACAACACACTTCTAAATCCAATGTTGGAATACAATAGACAAAGTCAAACCCAAAAGAAGGGTTATAACAAACATGTCAAACTCGAGTTTAAGGATTGGCAAACACACCTTCATCTACAGGTCACACCTCAGCAGTTCATCAGAAGTTTATTGTATAATAGAAAAATAAAATGGTGGAATTAAAAATAGATATGATGAGAGCCAACAGAGAGAATAAGAAGCTCCAGGAATTTACGACTGCCAACCCTGTTGATAGCCACCAACTTTTACTGCCAATTTTGCTGCTTCATGCCATAGTGTCTCATCCCATCACCTTCAGGCAAGATGCCACTTAGGCTGGCCATAGATTATGTAATTTCATTTAACTCAACCAAAGAAGGAAAGAAAATTTTCTATTCTCTCCCACTGTGCTACTATATTCTGACAGTGGGAGGTTTCCATGCCATCAGAATACAAAGATCACTGCTGGCGGCTGTAGCCGCTGGTAGTGATTGTACAAAGACAAACCCGACAGGCTAGTTGTACTGAAGTCAAACGACTGAAGTGTATATTGTTGATAGTTAACCTAAAGGTTACAAAAGCTCCAATTAACTATTCTGGACCCATTCTTGTGGCAAAAAACAGCCCCCAGTCATAGAAACATAGAAAAAACTCCAAAAACACATTTAATACTACTATTCTGAGGTAACAGTGGTGACTACATGAAGCACACTGATCCAGTCAATATACTGGAAGAGTCTGCTTTTATGGGCTAGAGTTAGGGCTGCTCAATGAATGCCAGTTTCTCCCACTCTCCCTGCCACTGGCTTTCAACTACTGCAGGGAGAGACACACTGGGCATCTTTCCTGTAATTGCGCCCCTTCCCTGATCCCCCTCCCTGTAGATGTCTGATTCCCCCTGCCATGTGCCCCCATGTGTACTTGGGCTGCCCCTCACAGTGCTGCTGGCTTCCCTCTCCCGTCAGCTGCTGTGGGTACACAGGGGTATGTTCAGGCTGGAAAGCGGGAAAAGGGACAGTAAATTCACAGCAATTTACTGGCCTTTTCCTGCAATAAACAAGCACAGTGAGTGATTAGTACCGATCTCTCCTGTGTCCATTCATAACTGAAGCGTAGTAAACTGTTTTTCTATGCTTCAGTTTATAAATGAACAGGAGCCTCTGTCTCCTATTCACTCATCTTCAGTACATCTGAGGCTGAAGAGAAAGGAATTGAAGAATCTGTGTCCTCAGTTCCTATCTCCATCTCAAAGGTGAGGTGTCAGGGGTCTGTTTAGACCCCTGATAACTCACCCATGCCCCCTTAACACCATTGTAAAAAAAAAAAAAATATTTAATCGAAATAAATTAAAAAAATTATAACAAATTGAAAAAAAATATTTTTAGAAACTCTAAAAAAAAATTAATTTTAAATTTTTTAAAAAATAACTCAAAAATGTGTAAAAATGTAAATTTTATTTAAAAAAATTAAATCATTTTTCATTTAAAAAATGCAGGGCTCATTCACATGGGTTCTCTGGCCCACACAGTGTGAATGACCGGTTTGTTTGTGAGGTTGGATCCATCTGTTAGTCTATGAGGATGAGGCAGCTGTACACAGCCACAGGTCCTAATCTGATAAGTGTGCAGGTGTGGGTGAGTGGCTCCGAGTTTGGAGAGCATACACCTGCATCCACACGCCTGTCAAATTAGGACCTGCAGCTGTGTTTATAAAGCTGCTGCATTCCCATAGCATAACATAGGCTGCCTGCACACAGCAATAGCCGCATTAAAAAAAAATGATTTGCACTCTACAGGTCACAGTACCTTTGTCAATATGCCCCAAGACCTCATTTACATTCAGAACTTTACTTATTGGCTCAATTCAGGTTTATCTTTTAGATTTAGCAGGAATTTTGTAACTTATGTTATGTTTGTATCCGCTAATAATGATTTTAGTGTATTTTTTGTGAAAATATCGTTTCGATATTTTCGGAGGAGAGGCCCTGTCAAGTAGGCTCTATGGGGCCCCCATGGTTTCTAACAGCAGCCTTGATTACAAGGTCACACTATACAAGTCAATGTCCATACTGTATATCAGTGTAGCACCCTCCTAGCTAGCTAGGGGGATCTAGCTCATTACTTTTCAGTTAGAGGGCTGAGTAGCATTCTGGATGACATTCAGAAGGTCAGGGCTGAGAGGCTCTGCAGATCAGCTCTCTGATACCTCCCCCTGATAAAGAAACTTGGAGAAGTCTCTAGAACTCAGTGGGCGGGGCCAAGGAGGAGCTGGTCTGCACTATTAAGGGATCCTGACAAATTCCTAGACAGGAGGCTTGGCATGGGGTCAGGACAGCCCTTAAGAGTGACTGAGCCTGCTCAAAAGCAGGAGACTTCGGGTAGAAGCTGTGAGAGCAGGAGCTGGAGTGTGGAGCCTGGGAGGGAACCCAAATCTACGACTCCTAAGGGGATAGCGCTACATCATATTTTTCAGATGGCAGTTCATTTAACAACTATGGATGATGCAAAGGAAAAAGCAAGAAAATGGCAATCTGAGTTTCAGGTCGTGGATGTTCAGAAACAGACTGATACAAATAACAGTGTTTTACAGTATGAGTTGGTGTTACATGATGTAAAATTAACAATGTAGCCATTACTTAGAAAATTGGAAGGGCAAAGGATCCTTTACCCCCAGGTCAGTACTTTTAAGGTATGTTGGGCTCATGGGCCTGAGAGAACATAATCCCCCATTCAAACCTCCATTATGGCAGCTCCAATTTCCTTTGTGCCTCCGAGAATGGAAGTTAATCCTGGATGATGTTAAAAGGTGTGTCACAATAAACTTTATTCACCTTGCCAACCAATAACTGCGGTACCCTGGCACACTTTGAGAGGTACCCGTAGCTCACATAAATCTGTCCCTTCCATGAAAGGGCCACCTGTTCATAGCTACTCCCCAGGTTGAAAGTTTCCTATCCTCCACCTACAGAGACTGCAGAGTTTGTGATGGTGGTATCTGATTAATCAAATTCAGGGAAACAATATTTAATATTTAATACTCACTGTGGCTTGGAGGAAGAACTCCTTAAACTTTTTGTGATATTTCTCTAAGCTTTCCAGAGACCATTCCATATTATCCATCTCACGTAGCTGATTGTCTCCATCTCCATCCATCCAAGAGGTGAGCTGCAGATAACAGACTAATTTAGGAGCAAGTCAAAGGTGCACAAATAATGTTAGCTGCTTTTTTCTCTTGTGCGGCAATGATATAATTAAAAAAAGCTTTGGGGTCATATCTTTGTTGTACCAAAACGTTATGGCTAGTGTAAATAAACTATGAAATTTTTGGGTTGCAAATTGTTAGGTTCCCACATGAGTAATCTTACTGTGCTGTCGATCTTTTTGACCGAACAGCTTCATGTGTTGTGTATAAAAAAATAAAGACAGGCAATCTCCATGTAATAAAATAATGAAATAATTCCTCATTGCTTCATGGTTGTAGGCTCAGATGTGAATTAATTATATTGCGGCAATAAAAACCATGGGGAGGGGTGCTTTGGGGAAAGGGGGGGTACTGTTTTCCTGACCTCCAGAACGGATTAATTGGTTTTCAATGCATTCCTATGGGAAACAGTGTTTCGGTTTAAGAATTTTTTGCTGTACGAAAAGTCCTGCAGAACGAATTAAGTTTGTAAACCAAGGTATTATTGTAAAGGGAAAGACTGTGTGCGCATGGCCTAAGGGGTTGATTTACAAAGGGCAAAAAGATGGTACACTTTGCAATGAGGAGTTGCACTCTGCAAGAGCAGTTGCTCCAGAGTTTAGTAAATGAGCAGAAACTCTACTTCCATCATCCAATCACATGCAACTAAAAATGCTGTTTTTTAAAATTGTCCTTGCATGTGATTGGGTATTATTTGCTGAGTAAAGCTTTACCTCATTTACTAATCTTTGGAACTTTTTACCTTTAGTAAATCCACCCCTGTGTGTTCTTCCCACAAAAGCAGAATTCCCCAGATTTGATCCAAAATGTGCTTGTAATGTATTGCTCCTGATTTCCTTACCTGGTCAAATTGTCCCTCCAGCTCTTTGACCTTTAAGAGCGACTCTAGAAGCTCCAGCCTACGGTTGGACTTGGTCACTAAGGCATGCACTCGTTCCTCTAGGTGATTGTACATCTGCACAGCGGACTCCACAGCACTCCTACAAATGGGAGAACAATCAGCAATAGTTACTTATAGCCCAGCAGGTTTTTAATAATAAAAAGCATCTCTGGCTACAATATTTACCTCTTCTATAGCAATGCCCCCCGTTGTATTTTATGTCCACTACTAGATGTTCACAGACGTCAAAAGGACTAGATGTCTACAGACAAGTACACCTTAGACCTGCCCCCTGGGAAAGGGAGGTGAGACCACAAAGTCCTTAACTTACATTCATTGATACTGAGAGCAGCACTGACCTCTTGATATCATTGCTGCTCTCTGCATCATGGATGATCACTGGAGAAGAAGTGAAATAGACCATGCATGCCATGTGACCTGCTTGAATACATCAACAACAGACAAGCATTTAAAAAAACAAAAACATAAAATAAAGGTGTGGGGTGAGGGGAGGCGGGAGGTGGGCTTTAAGGATTAAACAGTAAAATATTCAGCGCTAGAAGCCAATCAGATTCAACTATTGTGCACATGTGCTGAAAGGCAACATGCAGACAGGGGGTTAGAGTAGAATGGAGTAGAATGGGCAGAGTGATGAGTTATAGCTGAGCCTTTGTTCTTTTATTGTCTTTTCTTCACTTCGTTGGTTATAGTGATGGGCTGAACACTCCCCTGTTCAGTTCGCGGTCGAACATTCAAACATAACGAAAGTTTGACCGCGAACTTCAAACAGAGGGGACTATTCACTAAGCGATATCTTACTGCATCTGATTATGCAGTAAGATACCGCTCAGCTACTAAACACATTCTTTATTGTTTCAGCTGTCAGCGGGGTTCCCTGCTGACAGCTGAATGTAAAAAGAATTGCCGGCATTGTCTGGCAATTAAAAAAAAACGCATAGAGTCCCCCCCCCATCCATACCAAGCTCTTTGGGCCTGGTATGGGTTTGTGGGGAAACCCCCACACCAAAATTTCTTTAAAAAATGGAGTGAGGGTCTCCCCTACAAATCCATACCAGACCCTTATTTGAGCATGCATCCCAGCAGGTAAGGAAAGGGGGAGATGAATGCTCCCCCCCCTGACCACCATACAAGGCCACATGCCCTCAACATGGGGGGGTGCTTGGGGCAGGGGGGGCTCCCCTCTTCCCCACAACCGCGGCCGGTGGTTGTAGACATCTGTGGGTGTGGGGCTTATCAGAATCTGGAAGCCCCTTTAACAAGAGGGCCCCCAGATTCCGTCCCCCTCCCATGTGAATGAGTATGGGGTACATGGTATTGCTACCCATTCACAAAAAAAGTGTAGTGTGAAAAAATGACAAGTCCTTTATTAAAAACAAAAATTAAAAAAAAATGTCCCCCGAAGTAGATCCAACGTCAACTCCGATGCCTGCCACCATCGCCGACCCAAAAAAAAAAAAAACACTCCCGCTGTCTGACAGCTGCGTCGGGATGACAGTTCTTAAATAGTGTGATGACGTCCCAATGGGGTGGGGTCCCCTCTGCTGACATCATCATGCGCTGTGATTGGCCAAAGTATTGTACCTGACCTGAGGTCAGGTGCATTGCTTTGGTCAATCACAATGCACTATCAGGGCGCAGTGTATTGTGGGGCATGGAGGGACAATAGCTTGCCGAACACACTTGCCGTTCATGTGTTTGCCAACTCAAACTACCATTCAACTTGATCATACAGCCTATCCCTAGTTGGTTGGCAGTGGAGACAATTGCACATGTGTTCTCATTTTCTTTTGTCCAGTTTTAATTAACTTAATTTAAAATTTAAATATAGGCTCTATTTTGGGGGCATTGGTGAAAGGTTATAATACCAACTCCCAGAGTGGGAACAGAAGGCCATTTAGTTTGTGGGATATGAGCAGCACTTCCTAGAGTTTTCAAACATTTTTGCATCAGCTCCCAAGGTCCTAGGAAATTACCAACCTTTATGCTTTTAAGAGAGAAATATTTTTATATGCTAAGTCAGGGGTCTCCAAACTGCGGCCTGAGGGCCAGATGTGGCTCTTTGCTAGCCTTCATCCGACCCTTGGGGCACTATTCCTCCCAATGATATGAGGCACTATTCCTTATACTGATACCAACAGCCACTGACACTAATGAAGGGGCTATATTCTTCCCATTGACACCAACAATGGGTCACTATTTCTTCCACTGATACCAACAATAGAGCACTATTCCTCCCAACAATACCAATGGTGGGGCACTATTCCTCCCACCAATATCAATGATGGGGCGCTTTCCTCCCACTGACACCAGCAATGGGGCCCCTTGTTCCCACTGACACCAACAATGGGACACTTTTTCTTCTACTGATACCAATAGTGTGGCACTATTCATTACACTAATACCAACGATGAGGCACTATTCTTCCCAAAAATACCAATGATGGGGCACTATTCTTCCCAACAATACCAATGATGAGGCACTATTCTTCCCACCAATACCAATGATGGGGCACTATTCTTCCCACCAATACCAATGATGGGGCACTATTCTTCCCACCAATACCAATGATGGGGGCACTATTCTTCCCAACAATACCAATGATGGGGCACTATTCTTCCCACCAGTACCAATGATGGGGCACTATTCTTCCCACCAGTACCAATGATGGGGCACTATTCCTCCCAACAATACCAATGATGAGGCACTATTCTTCCCACCAATACCAATGATGGGACACTATTCTTCCCAACAATACCAATGATGGGGCACTATTCTTCCCACCAATACCAATGATGGGGCACTATTCTTCCCACCAATACCAATGATGGGGCACTATTCTTCTCACCAATACCAATGATGGGGCACTATTCTTCCCACCAATACCAATGATGGGGCACTATTCCTCCCACTGATACCAATGATGGGGCACTATTCTTCCCACCAATACCAATGATGGGGCACTATTCATCTCACCAATACCAATGATGGGGCACTATTCTTCCCACCAATACCAATGATGGGGCACTATTCTTCCCACCAATACCAATGATGGGGCACTGTGCTTCCCACCAATACCAATGATGGGGCACTATTCTTCCCACCAATACCAATGATGGGGCACTATTCTTCCCACCAATACCAATGATGGGGCACTATGCTTCCCACCAACCCTGAGGCAATGTTTATTCGCACTGATGTTGAGCCTGGGATATTTTCTAACACCACTAACTACAATCCAGCCCCCCTAAAGTCTGAAGGACAGTAAACTGGCCTTTTCTTTGAAAGGTTTGGAGACCAATGTTCAAAGTGAATTGCTTGGTTAAATGGAATTTTAAAAAGTTAATAAATAAAATAAATCCTAATGATAACATTTACAAACGAATAATCTTTGCACAGCGTTCACCAGTGTCTATGAAATGCCCTGTAACAACACAAGTAGCTATGTAAGCATAAACACTTATGAAAACGTATCCATGCCTATAATTAAATATGATTAATGACCCTAATCTCCAACTATTTAGGAATCTGCATACAATGCATTTTTTCCCAATCATCCAAATCACTGTATTGCTCCTTGTTTTACTCTCCCTTTTAGATCTATAATGCAAGTCTTTATAGTTATGTCTCTTCCCTTGCTCCCCATCAAAGTGTCTGGCTGGCTTGTAAACCAATCATAAACCTACTCAGTGGGAGCTTTACTACATATTTTACTGTTTAATGTTGATTGAGGCCTTGCATGAAGTTCAGTCTGTCTGCAAGTCTGCTGAACTATTATGAGCTGGAATAAACATGCAACTATTTATTGTCATTGTCACAGGACACTTCATCCACAGGGTTCACCAAATTCAAAGTTGTATTAACCACTTCATGACCAGGGCATTTTTTTGCTATTCAGCACTGTGCTACTTCAACTGGCAATTGCTCGATCATGCAACACTGTACCCAAATGAAATTTATATCATTTTTTCACACAAATAGAGCTTTTCATTTGGTTGTATTTGATCACCGCTGGTTTTTTTTAAAAAAAAAATTATTATATAAACAAAAAAAAAGACCAAAAATGTTGAAAAAAAAGATATTTTTTATTTCTATTATAAAACATATCCAACAAAAAATATAAAAAAATAAAATTTCTTCATAACTTTGGGCCATAATGTATTCTGCTACATGTCAAAAAAAATTCCAAAATCACAATAAGTGTATATTAAATGTTTTGCATGAAAGGTATAGGGTCTACAAACCATGGTATATATACTGGAATTTCCACAGCCATAGATACTATATTGGTAATGGTGGTGATCAGCGACTTGGGACTGTGATGGTGTGTCGGGCAATCTGGCGCTAACAGACAATGGCTCGGAGGGACACTAACTGACTGACACTGATGTCACAAGTGACATTAATACAGTGATCAGATATAATACTGTACACTGTACTAATGACACTGGTTGGGAAGGGGTTAACACATGGCTTAAAATTTCAAGTCCTGAGCTACTAGCCAGGTCTTAGAGTCTTAGAGTTACTCGCCACCAACAAACACACACAAACAAACAGAGACACCTGTACACAGACATGTACATACACACACACACACATACACACACAGAAACATGTACACACACGCACAGAGACACATGTACACACGCACATACAGACACATGTATACACACACAGGCACGTACAGACATGCATACACACAGATACATGTACATACACAGAAATACACATGCACAGACACATGTACATACACACAGACACATGTACATACATACACAGACACATGTACACACAGACACATGTACATACATAAACACACACGTACATGCACACACACACAGACACATGTACACACACACATACATGTGCATACACGCAGACACATGTACAGATACACACATGTACAGACAGATGTACAATTGTACATGCATACACACACACACACATGTACACATACACACACACCACCACCCCACCACCCCACCCCCCCATAAAAAAGTTGCAGTACTTCGTTGTTCACTCACAGATCCTAGTACTGCACTCTAGGGGGAGGCAGAGAGCACAGCACACACTCCTTGCTTT